CCCCCCCCCCCCCCCCCCCCCCCCCCCCCCGGGGCGGTGGTGCTATCCCATTGACAGACGGTAGCTGAGTCTTTATTTTCTCGGAGTGAATAGCAGCGACAACTTACTCCCTTTACGCAAAGAAGAAGTAAAACCAACCCCCAAAATGAAGGGGAGGGTTTGGAATAATTGTTTCCAATTCTATGAAATGAATTCATAAAGGAAAATGAATTCACAAGCACATAAAGTTTTCTCCTTTTTTTTTCGGGGCGGGATCAGTAGGGAAAACATCCACAGCAATTTGTGTACATTTATGCAATGCCAGAATGTAATTATATAAAACTAATTGAGCACATAGTGAGCTATGTAGAGTGTGTGATTTATGTTCTATCCCTGTCACTAGGCCAATTTTTTCGACTCTTTATGATGATCTTTTTTTTTGGTTCAAGTAATCAAGGGTCTCAAGATGCATGTTATTTCATCAAAACAAAAATGACCACCTTTGTTATGTAATGTTTTCCTCTTAATTTTAGGAGATTGATCAATCAGAGGAACTATCATGTAAACTATTTCCCCTTTATTTCTTCTTTGAACAAATGTAGTTCATGATGTTGGGTCCAAAAATCATGTGATTTTACAAGTACTATTTTTTTTTTTTTTTGGTTCAATGGTTTGGAGTGTCTGACTCAATTTGTGCGTACCTCAACTAATGTCCTTCTCAATTCGGATAAAGACAAGTCATCCACACTGAAACTAAGATATTCATGAGAANAGTTCATGATGTTGGGTCCAAAAATCATGTGATTTTACAAGTACTATTTTTTTTTTTTTTGGTTCAATGGTTTGGAGTGTCTGACTCAATTTCTGCGTACCTCAACTAATGTCCTTCTCAATTCGGATAAAGACAAGTCATCCACACTGAAACTAAGATATTCATGAGAATTAAATTTCTTAAACTCCAAAGAATTATTAAAATTAAAACTCAAAATGTCTAAATTTAAGACTCGTCTCTTTAATCACTTGAATTATTGTTGGAGTAAGAAGTATTGCTTTTAAAAAGCAAAGATGAACAAAAGGAGTGTTCATAATAACTTCGTAAACCTTAGTGCACAAGTGAACCAATCATNGCAAAGATGAACAAAAGGAGTGTTCATAATAACTTCGTAAACCTTAGTGCACAAGTGGACCAATCACATGTAAGATTCCCTAGTGTAAAGGGTTTGACCATTTTGTCTTTTTTTCTCTTTTTTTGGGTGGGATTGGGAAGTTGGTGATTGTTCTGACCTTTTTTGAAGGTGGTGGTGGGGGTGGCCACGGGGGAATTTGGAAAGGGGTTGGCTTTATTAATCTGACGGCAAGAAAAGCAACCCCCCCCCCCCCAAAACATGAGAATTAAACGAATGAAATACAATTAAGGTTTAGCTTTCGGGCCACTTTCGGATAATGTGCATAAAAAAAACATACTTAAATTTACCTTGTTTGTTTAGGATAAAGTAAGCGACTTTTTGAAATAATTAATGTTGTCGATCTTCTTACAATCTTATTGTCAAGGTCAACTTCAAATCAATATTATTTAATAAATTGGGTCTACAATAAAATAATAATAGGATCACACCTTTATTACGAGTTTGTAAACATACTTCTAGAGTTACTCGATTAACTATGGCACCCGGTGTACTTCTTTAATGTTCCGTTTAGTAGGAATGATGAAAAGTAAGAAGGATAAAAAATAAGAGGAATACATTTTCTATTTTTTAAGGATAAAAAATATGAATGATACACTTTTCTTCCTTTATATTTAGTTGGTTGGATAGATGGAAAATAAAAATGACTAATTTTTTTTATCTAATATTTGGGGTGATAATCGAATCGTGTCGTGTCAAATTCATGTTAAATCATAAAATTATGAACCTTTTATATTTTTTGTTTGCATGTCAAGTCATTTTCAAATTCATATCGAGTTATAATCAAATTTGTGTCATAAAATTCATGTCAAGTTCAAATCGTGTCATGGAGTCGAAAATTTTTACCACTAGTTAAGATTAAAAAATATATTTTTTTTTAATTTAAATTTTTTATTTTTATTTTATTTTGTTATTTTGTTATTTTTATTTTATCATTGTATTTGTATATGAAATTAATGTATACATAATATATAGACAAATAAAATACATTTCAACACAAATAATTAATTTTTCATTTACCTTCCTTCCGATTTTAGAGGAATTGATTTTGATAAATTTAAAAAAAAAATTAATTTATCCACTTTTTCATCCTTCTTATTTTTCTTTCTTACCAAACATGATATNTTGATTTTGATAAATTTAAAAAAAAAATTAATTTATCCACTTTTTCATCCTTCTTATTTTTCTTTCTTACCAAACATGATATTTTATTATCCCTGTAACTTTTCATCCTTTCATTTTTCTATCATACCAAGTGGAATATAAGAGTGGCCAAAAGTTCCTCTACTTAAATGTAGTACGAAATCATCCCAAAAATCTCGATCAAAGCAAGCATATGCCTAACATGAATACCTCAAGTCACAGACAGAGGTAAAGAGACTCAACCTTGATTGAAATAAATACCACAAAAAAGTAAAGCACTCATCCAACCTCAAATAAATACCGCAAGTGGTTTTTTTTTTTTTTCTAGTTGTCAACCCCTAATCCTGACTTGAACAGAAGATTGAAGAATGAACAGAAATACCATCTCTCAATGCAATAGTGCAATACTGACCCACCTAGCAACCTGAGTGTATAGTAGCAACACCCCACCCCTACCCTCCACCCCCTGGCAAAAGAACTGCCCTCCAGCACCTCGGTAAGTGCCCTGTGAGTTGGATGATACAGAGTTCTGTGCCTTTTCTTTAGAGAATTAGGTACCGATAATCTCTTACTAGTACAATGTCCAACAGCCTTTGGTTCAATAGTATTCCTTACCTTGTGAACATTTTTCCTTTTTGAGGTCAAAGGTTCAAGTCCTCTCTCCCCTCCCCCTCCCAAAAAAAAAAAAGAAAAGATGAGGGAATGCAACATCAATGTCCTCGTATGTGTGTGTTTTTCACGAAAATGGTACACATATGAGAGGCTTGTGGAAGAAAAGGTTAAAGACCCAACCAGATTAACAAGATCAAGTAAGGAATGAAACATTATACACCATTCTGATGCCTAGTCAGGAAGGAAAGGCAATTTTTCCAGGGTATTAGGTGAACCATTTGCTTCAGCATTAACATTAAATAACTCATCAAACTCATTGTCAGCCTCAGTTCTTTCACTAGTTTGTGTGTCTTCATCCTCCATACTTTGAAATGGAAGGATACGCAGCCGTATATCTGATTCTGAACCAACTCTTTCCGATTGTAGATTGTATTTCCGAATGAGATCCTTCTGAAGCAGTATGATGTTGGAGGGCCTAGGGAGTAGCTCCACAGGTTCTCCTTTAGGAATTACTATTTGCTCAACGGCTATCCTCGCTTCCTGTAAAAATGGAGAAACACTTTATCAAGTTGATTGAGAAGATTAAGCAATGAGGCCACCTTATTACAGAAGCAAAGGGTGTGTCCCTTATTCATCTAACTTGTAAATAATGTTGTATGAGGACAAGATCACAACATACACCTTCTGAATGGCACCTCATCCATCACTTTGTAATCAACCATACTAATCATACCCAACCATTCAATCTGACAAAAGCAATATCTTTAGTTAAAACAAAATAACTCTGCAGATTTTCTGGTGCACGATCGTTTCAGTCTTCTCTTCCCCATTTAGTTGCTCAACTTATATTAACTTGTGCTTTCTCATTGATGCCACCATCAACATTCTTGGGCAGTACAGATGAGAAATCTGACTCCCTCCTAAATTACTTAGAGAGGCAACCACAACATTCTCCTGGATAATTTAATACAGGTCCTCACCAGTCTTACCAATGCACACGACAAAGTTGTTTTTATAAATAGAAGTAGCACTTATCTACACCCAAAAGCGCACCTTACCTCACCATTTCACCATTAATCCGGGAGAAACATACTCTTGAAGCTGTCCACCACCAAAACAGCATTCTGCAATAACTCGTAATCATCAAGCTCATCCAATCATTGCCATAATCTGGTTTTATAGCATCCACATTCCATGTTTTCACCTTGTTCCTTTTCTTAACATAGTTTTAGAAATTCAACGCAACACAACTAAATACCTATAGTTGAAGAAAGTGCAACACCAACAAGCTACAACTAGGTTTGAAAGTGTCTGTCCCTCCAAAGAAAAATATGCCTAGTTATTCTTTCACTCAATCACATGTAATAATTTTATTTGAAGGTTAATGTTTAGGCTCGTGAGGAGGCTAAAGCTTTGATGGATGTCCATTCAACTTTAAAGCCAAAGTGTAGCTAGAGTGGACTCTGCTCTTTTCTGATCTCTGAAAACTACATTCCAAAAGCAGAGCTGGACAATCTCTCAACTTCCAGCACATACAACCAGAACCATTGTCATGGGGTCATTCATAGATGGCCTACTGCATGACCAAAAGAAGATAAGGCAAAAGTAAAGTCATTTTCACCTCCAAGGCATCCATCTTCTCTGACATATTCATCTTGGCTCCAGATTCAAAAAACTCAAAGCCATCAGCATAATCAGTCATCAATGCCTGTATGGCCTTTGTTAACTGTGCCAATGAGTTCGTCTGCAAAATATCAATATGGATACATGATTCAAACATCAGCATCAAAAGGGATCAGTAAGGCCAAGTATATGTAGCAAAAGTTACCTTCGTCACATAAATAGGGATGCCACAAGATCTAGCAGCAGCTTGAATCCGAGAATTCTTCTTCAACTTGGACTGCAATCCAAGTAGTGCATCTGCTTCACTGATATTATCAGTAAATTCAACTGCATCATCTATCTTCAGCTGTTTAATCCCTTGTACCACACTTGCCTCTGAAATCTATAACACCTGCTCAAAGTATAAGTTGCAGGTGCTACAATTTTTATAAAACACCTATTCCAAGTTCTGCAAGAAGTGAACTTCATATCTTAATAAGCAAAAGAGTAAAAGGTGCAGTTTTATCAATATATCATTACGAGTTTTTGGCCTTACAGAAACCTCATAAATGAAACAAAGAAAACAGAATTTGGAAGAAGGGCAATCATTTGATCTGCATTTTTTCGTCAAACCTACGTCCCTGTTGTCATCCTTTTCTGGATACTATTCTGACTGACTCAGTCAATCGTACTAGTAGAAATATGGAATAATACATAATCTTGGTAGAAAGATTTTGCAACTATTAAATTCAGGTTAAACTTGGCAATAAGCATAACCAACCTAAGAAGCTAAACCTGATAGCATATTATGAACTACAGAAATGAAAGTAATCAGAAGGAACAAACATTGAATCAATACCTAAGGAAACAAATATTGCTAATTTTATCTTTTTTGCCTGTCATTGTACCCATCTGTGAAGGCACTAATAATAGTGGTGCCATTACTTGCCCATAGAGAAGGGAAGGGAGGGGACCAGGCACCAAACAGGCATCGTATAAGTTCATCCTGTGATTCCAAGTGCTACTCTTACTGCACCGTTTCCAATTTTCTTTCGTTTTGTTCTATTTTTACAACAACAGTTGGACAAGAAATTTAAGCCAACATAAAAATCATGTTTCAAGATGACAACTGAAAACTTGCCTTCAGAAGGATAAAGACAATTCAACCTGGAGCAATATTTTTAAAACATGGCAAAGTCGAGACATCTTACCCCATAGAGAAATAGGCAAAGGGGTGCCTCATCTTCACAAGAATCTTCATCAGTGCTAGGAGGTAATTCAGAAATGATTTCATTATGGCCGGTTATATCAGAATTCACATGTAGAGTATCTTCAAGCATGAGTCCATTCTTCTTGTCAAATGAATCGGATAATATTCTTTCAACATCTTTAGCTTCCGGACCCTGATGAATCTTGCATACTTCAAACATTGGAAATCGACCTTCCATGACATAAAAGCAACAGCATGTGAAACTATGAAGCCAATTGCAATTGTCAGTCATCTAAGCTCACTAACAAAGAAAATGGAGAAAGAGAAAAACAACAGTAATGCGGAGAAGAAAAAGAACAAACCAGAAAGAACAGCATCAACTGTTGCTTCTAAACTATGANGCCAGTCATCTAAGCTCACTAACAAAGAAAATGGAGAAAGAGAAAAACAACAGTAATGCGGAAAAGAAAAAGAAGAAAAAGAACAAACCAGAAAGAACAGCATCAACTGTTGCTTCTAAACTATGATGAACTCGCAGCTCAGTTTTTGAAATTATCTCCACCCCACAACTAAAAGTTGAGGGTCCTTTCCTCTCTAGCACTGTCTTCTGAACACCCCTCCGGTTTGCCTCTTCGTCCCCCAGTGTTACACTCTACAAGATGGATGCATTAAAATGATTGATCAGCAAAAAGGTAATCCACGGTTTGCCTAAACAATTCACATAACACTAGAGCAGTTGTAGAATTCTCAAGTATCTGCCAAAAGAATGGCTGGAAAAATTCTGCTACGAACTGGTATTTTGTGTGTGTAAAGTCCACGTAACATAACATTTAAAATTGAAAAGCACACATATTCATCATGTAATTCATTTCTTAGTGCAGAGGTAAAAGCTCATGTGAGGCAGCCACTTTTTGCATATAATATGAAAGTTAGGTGTATCAGACCTTAAAACTGGGTAATGGCCTTTTTATGCATCATGGAAGTTTTATTTTTGAGTCTTATGTTTTGCTGAGGTAAACCAGGGAAAAGTTAGTATGCAACAAAAGTCAAAGGAGTTATCTTACGTGGTGTTTGATAAAATTAAAAGCTAAACACTAAAAACCGAATGCTGAATTTTAAGTGCTGAATTTTGAATTTTTTAATTCGCAGATTGTTTAGTATCAACTGAAATTTAAGTATTGAATTGAATCAAATTGTTTAACAAATACAAGAAGCTAAAGTCTGAAAATTATTATTATTCTAATTTTGTCTTTCTATGATGGCAGTGGTGGTGGTGGTGGCAGTGGTGGTGGCAATGGTGGTAGTGGTAGTGGCACAATAAAGGTGGTGGTAGAAGCGATAATGGTGGCACAATGGTGGTGTTAGTGGTGACACAACGGTGACGTCATAATGGTGGGGGTGGTGGTGGCAATGGCACAATGATAATGGCGGCTACACAATGGTGGTAGTGGTGACGGTGATACAATAGTGGTGGCAGTGGTGGTGGTGATGGCGGTGGCGGTGACACAATGGTAGTGGTGTGGCGGCGACACAATGGCGGTGGTGGTGACAGTGCCATAATGGTGGTGGTGTCAATGGTGATAGTGGTGGTGGTGGCGGGGGCAACACATTAGTGGTGGTAACAACGGCAACACAATGGTGGTGGTAGTGGATGGTAGGAGGGTATATTTATCCATTATGAAGAATTGATAAAATTCTTACTAACTAACATTTTCAGCATTAAGTGATAAGTGGTTTGCTACTTAAAATTTTAACCTATTTTTAAAAAGTGCTTAAAATATTAAGTAGTATGAGTTTTAGGTTATCAAACAAATTCAATTCATTAACTGCTTAAAGTATTCAGTTTTAAGTCTTAAGTGGTACTATCAAACACCCTTTTATTTTTAGACTAATAAGTAGAGTGCAGTGGGATGGAACTAACAGCAAGTGTGAAAAGATGAATAATGAGACATGCTTCATGGCAAAGACACTTCTAATTTTGGGAAATCTGTTGTTTAAAAGCCATGTCAAAGGACAAATTCCCAAGTGACGGCCCACTTTTGGGCACCAGCCCTAGAGAGGTCGTGTATTTTCTGCTCAGTTATCTTGGTGCACACCTAACACCACTCCCAGCTATGTTAATGTATAGGCTACAGAAATCCAGATGTTCCAAATGCAATGAATGAATTACACATCACACATCAAAGAGAACACAACTGACTCACCTGTATACCTCCAACAAGCATCTCTAGTGAAGGATTCATTACCAAATTCTCTATTGTTACTCCATGAGCAGTGGCAACTAGCTGAATTCCACGTTGTGCAATTGTGCTTGCAGCCATTGCTTCAAGTTTTGTCCCAATTTCATCAATTACAATCACTTGTGGCATGTGATTTTCAACTGCTTCTATCAACACCTATATCATAGAGGTTAGAGAAGTGAGCAACTGGCACTGCTGCTAATTGAATGAACAAGAATAGAGGGTGAAAGGACGCATATATGAGCCTTCCGTAAATGCTCATTTGCCATGCAGCGTTACTAAGACATCAGTATATAAGCAAAAGCATGTGGAGCACTCATGCAGATGTCTTTTAAGCATCGCACACACATAATAAGTGCCCACGAGTGTAGCCACCACATAACCATATAGATGAATCATTGTTTAGTGGACTCACTAAATAATATAACAACTCTATACTGGTTTTGTTTACAAAAGAGAAACAATGTAGAAACAGAACTTTTGAGAAGGGAAAAACAAAAGAGAACAGTTACAGAGGTGTGCTTGAGTCCTTAAGCATACACACTTTTAAACTTTTCTCACAAAAAAGTCCTTTTGTCTGGGGGTAATTCTCTAACAGAAACAACAGCATGCTTTACAACACAAGGATCTTACGACAACAGCTTCGTGAAGGCCACACTGAGGTAATTCCTAGGTCAAAGCTTATTTTCAATGTTGCAACTCATAGTTTTCTAATACGCTCGCTCCTGCCCGAGCCTTAAACCCCACCCAACAACTACAACTAAGAATGCACATGACTTCCATTGAACATTGAAATTGATTTACCTCAGATAAAGAAAGAATCCCAACTTAAACCTAATCCAACCTAGTTCAAGGTGCAANCTGCCCGAGCCTTAAACCCCACCCAACAACTACAACTAAGAATGCACATGACTTCCATTGAACATTGAAATTGATTTAACTCAGATAAAGAAAGAATCCCAACTTAAACCTAATCCAACCTAGTTCAAGGTGCAAGAGAGCAATACAACATTATACGACTTACGAACACCTAATAATAGACTGAGAAATCCCATATTCAGCTGCTAGTACTAATATGTGCCAATACCAGTTATAGCATTGGAAAATATAAGATTTATTTTGCTTGATCAAGGGGAGTCTTTTCCTCCAACCTGTGGAATGGAAGGGGAAGGACAAAGAGAGTTTAACCATTCAAATCCATTCAACCCTCATCCTCTAGCTTGCATTTCGGAATTCAATAGTTACTCGACAACAATTTATGTTGTTTTCTGAGACGAAACCACACTCAAAAGGAAGCTTGAATTATGCACCCCTTTAGTGGTGGCAAGAGATATTATTTGAACTAAGAGCTGCTAGCCACAATCCTTAGGTTAAGTGACTTATGTTTAATGTCTTTCAATTTACAAGAATGTGCATAAAATGCTGCTAGTGTACTTTTGAATCTCAAGAGACACCCTCAACCATAAAATCCTTCAAAAGAATGCTGCTTCAGCGCTCTTTCTCCAAAAATTCATAACCTAGGTCATGGCACGCATTCATTATAACAAACATGGAGCAATAACAATGATGACCTTCCAAATATGAGAGGACATAACTTGATTGACATATAATCATCCACTTGTCCTACCATATAAAGGCAGAAAAGAAATTTGACAAACAGCTTGGATAGAATTTGGGTGGAAAACAAAGTCACAGGGGTTCAAGCATATTAACAATTCAAGCATGGAGAGGATGATTTCTTAACAAGAGTATCGCTACAATTTGCATTCCGTAACATTTACATGTTTTGAGGGAGGTTTCACAATTGCGCACAGTTCTTAGTGGCATGCCTTGCCTGATTTTCAACTCTTATAATCTTTTGAGTTAGATTATATGTACCCTGTTCATTGAGAAGAATCATAGCATTTAGAAGGCAAAAATTTTCCTGATCTATCCTCCTCCTCCAAATTAGATGCATTACCATACACCTTTTTAAAGGAATATCTTTCACNCCTATAATCTTTTGAGTTAGATTATATGTACCCTGTTCATTGAGAAGAATCATAGCATTTAGAAGGCAAAAATTTTCCTGATCTATGCTCCTCCTCCAAATTAGATGCATTACCATACACCTTTTTAAAGGAATATCTTTCACAATTTCTCTTGATGAGATAGGAGGTATTCAGCTCCTACCTTGTGTTGAACGTCAGAGTGAGGGACTTGCATCCGGCGAGCATTACCTATTCCTGCATGGGGTATATCTCCATCCCCACCAATTTCATTTGATGTGTCAACAATCATGACACGTTTCTTATAATCATTTGCAAGCATTCGAGCTATATCCCTGCAAAATTTCAAAAAAGTAAGTCAAAGCAATGACCATATAACTGCCCCTTTGGGAGTAGATAAAGTTACCAAACCCCTTATTCCACAAATATTTAGGCTGTTGTTGGAGCACTTAAAAGCATACTATGAACAAGTGGCTCCACTTCAGCAAGAAATATAAATATTGAAAGGCATGCTTTGACGCAAAGAATCTATAGCTTGGGTTTCGGATATTTTTTCGCCTACGTACAGCATTTCACATTTAAATGTAGGAAAACTGAAATATTTTGGAATTTTTTTTAGAAAAATACATGTAGAGTAAGATTGTAAGCAATAAGAAATAATTAATGGTAGTTCTCCTCCCATTTGAAAGGAGAATAATTATCATACTAAGAGAAATTTCAGAGGCACTTAGCAGTCGTCCACCTCAAAGGGCAGCTCGAAAACAAAATGCATACTCATACAACATCGAACATTTAGGAGCCTTGTACTACGACTTACTGGCAGGTTTTCAAAAGAAGAAATATGTAGTTCTCCTCTCATTTGAATGGAGAATAATTGTCTAACTTAGAGCAATTTTGGAAGCACCTTCTCATTGAGGAGAGCAGTCAGTCACTTCAAAGAGGAGCTCAAATATAAAATGCAGATGCTATTCATTTTCTCAGAGATGATAGAGATAGTACATCTCATTCATATCTTATGATAGTGCAGAAGGGAGGTTCTCAATTGTTGGACGAAAATGTAAAAGTTTGGAGACAATCGCTGTATCCAATCCTCATCTTGAATCTCCTACTTAATGGTATTGAATGAGATGGTGAGTATACATATGTAAGAGAGAACGCCCTCAATACCAGATTACTCTTTGCACTATTTCTAACAATGTCCCTCATAGAGATGGGAATGAGTTTGGCTCTTCAGTAATTGATAATCAAGCTTATCTAACACAATGACAGCAATATCTCCGACATAATTTCAGCAACTTGTGTCATAATTTTATTTTATTTTTTTGGAGGGAGGGAGACTTTAACTGTTGACCTCAAGAAAGCAAAATCTTTACAAAGTACCATTGGACCAAAGGCCCATTCATAACTTATGTCATAATTTGTGAACCATTATTTACCAATGTAAGAGCACAATTATATCTTTGCAAAATACAAATAGCAATGCATGCTGCTATATTCAAGAAATCTTAGTCAAATTTTGAAAACAACAATTAGTACTTTTCGTTGCAAGTAATATGGTTTGAAAATAAATTGCATGTTACTCTTGGCCCGCATTAGTTAAAACCATTTATGGCCCAACCTACATAAAAAAAACTATATGAAATGAAAACAACTTTTTGAGATAATTTGATCTGATCTCCAATCTCGACCTCAAAAGCAATGTTGCTCTCCTCTCACCATAATAAACTCCTAAGAATATTTGGAGAATAACTGATAAGTAATCTTCTCTGCCAATCTTCCTAGCACATCGATTGGCCAAGGCCCAAACCCTAATATTGCCGTGTTATATACTGCACACTTTCCAGATCTGGAATGTAAAAGGCATTTACTATCTCTACATGACAAAATTAAACCTTATTGATCAATCTATGTGGCATGACCATTTTAAGCCTCATTTTGCCTAACTGTTTGGACTTTCAACCAGAAGTTATAATTGCAGTCTCACCAAACAGAACATTTGAAATCACAATCTTTACATATTAGATATGCTTTCATTCTTCTTACAACAAGACATAAAAATAAGCACAGATATGAAATCAATATTCAAATTTTTGATAATTCTAATAGTGGAACTTTGGCAATTAATAATAAAATGAAAAAAGGAGAGTAGAAAGCAGATAGTCAAAATCGTAGCTTACACCCTCCTTTCCAACACTTTCAATTAAGCGAGCCTAAAAACAACTTGTTGACACCAAAAACCATAGAATGCTACTGTGTAAATGGAACATCGCAACTTAAGAACAAGAAAAAAGAAATTGATAACTTAAATTTTAAAATCTCCTGCATCTTTATAAAAACCGATCAGCATAGTAAAGTTCTCAGGGACATGTTGACACACTACAGATTACCATGATGAATAACAACTAAAGTGCCTTCTCTATGAGCATAGAGAACAAGTAACCTGATGATTGTAGTTTTTCCTACTCCTGGAGGCCCAATAAGCAACAAAGAAGCCCCATCTTTAACCAAATCTCGCAACAAGATGGCACTTCCTGATACTGCTCGACCAACACGACAAGTTAAACCAATAATCACACCTTTTCGATTTCTGATGGCACTAATTCGGTGTAAAGTTCTGCTAATTCCGGCTCGATTATCTATAGCAAAATCACCAACCTGTAATATGAAATGTTAGTTAGCGAGAAGGCATTCAATTTTTTAGCAAAGGTAGGCAATCAGCATAGTTTTGCCTCTTCATAAGAGGAGCACTGTAACTCAATCAAATAAAGTTGACCCTGCAAAGCAAAAGGTTTACAAAGTCTTCTAATATGCGTACATCATACTTATGATTTCAAGATGGTGCACTTACCAATCATAGTTTTAAATAACGGTAACAGGTGATGTAATGGTTGCGGTCATTATAATTTTAACTCAACTTCTTAGTAATTGACCAGATGGTTCAAACATTTAGCACATGTGGAAAATCCCTTCAATAAGCTTCTCTTTGAAACCACTCAGATTCAACAGCATCTATGAATATTCATCAATTGCTGGGTGTGCCCATGGGCGTGTGTGCTATGTCTGTCTGTCTGTAGGTATGTTTATATTCAATTTAATTCCAATTCCACCCAGTTCAACCACTCCAAAGAGTAAGTCAGCTTCTTGCTCCTGACGATAACATTTAAAGCACCCATAAACACCTAGGGACACTGGAAAATTCTAACTACGATGTTAAGTTGTCTACAAACATGGGCGTCAGGTATCAATCCCGGTGTTAAATATCAAAAAAAAAAAAAAAAAACCCCAAAACCAAATTTTAGCTCACATTACAAATTCGCTCATGCAAATGATCAAACAGTTGGCGGGAAAGATACAAGTTTACCTGAGAAGTGGCATGATTGATATCCTCTGTAGTAATCAGACGATCTGCTAAAACAAAATCCCCTGACGGAAACCGAGCCAATGGCTTTCGACCCAAATCCATAACCACTTCAATCAACTGGTGGAGCTCTTCGTGCTCGCTAACTATCTGCCGCATCTCTTCCGGTAATAAAGCCAACAGACGTCCCAATTCAACATCAAAATCTTCATCAGCTGAATATGAGAGCGATGAATGCGAACTAAACTGACCAAGAACAATTCTGCGCGACCCAGAATTCCTTTGGTTTGAATTGTGCTGACGAGATAGGTGTTGTGAAAAATGAAGGAATTCGAATGGGGATTGGGATGGGAGTTTGGAAACTAAGGTTTGGCGTGGGAATTGGCGAATTAGCAGAGGAGAGAGATGGAGCAGAGGAGAGCAGAGCATTGCTATTCTGGCTATAAAGTAAGCATGTGGACTCGTTATAATTCCAACTGATTGCTCAGCTTATGATTCTCAGTTTTCATCCATTTATATATTGTGCTTTTTTCTGTTTTTGGTAACCTTTTCTACAAGAAAACGAAACACAAGAAGTCACAACTTACAAGGATTGGCCTAAGAACGATTCTTAAACTTTTCAAAAATAATAATAATTTTTTTTTATCAGGAAAAAAGGGGGAGAGTCCATCTCTAGGTGTTACCATGGGTGTCCCTCGTCACAGCACAGAGTCCATCGTCACAACACTATCAAAATTAAGAAGCAAATCGTGTTACTCCCGTAAATAAGAGTAGAGCTAAAAATTATTCATAGTTGGGACAACGTAAAACTATTTCAANGTGCCTTCTCTATGAGCATAGAGAACAAGTAACCTGATGATTGTAGTTTTTCCTACTCCTGGAGGCCCAATAAGCAANACCTCGACCTCAAAAGCAGTGTTGCTCTCCTCTCACCATAATAAACCCCTAAGAATATTTGGAGAATAACTGATAAGTAATCTTCCTAGCACATCGATTGGCCAAGGCCCGAACCCTAATATTGCCGTGTTATATACTGCACACTTTCCAGATCTGGAATGTAAAAGGCATTTACTATCTCTACATGACAAAATTAAACCTTATTGATCAATCAATGTGGCATGACCATTTTAAGCCCCATTTTGCCTAACTGTTTGGACTTTCAACCAGAAGTTATAATTGCAGTCTCACCAAACAGAACATTTGAAATCACAATCTTTACATATTAGATATGCTTTCATTCTTCTTACAACAAGACATAAAAATAAGCACAGATATGAAATCAATATTCAAATTTTTGATAATTCTAATAGTGGAACTTTGGCAATTAATAATAAAATGAAAAAAGGAGAGTAGAAAGCAGATAGTCAAAATCGTAGCTTACACCCTCCTTTCCAACACTTTCAATTAAGCGAGCCTAAAAACAACTTGTTGACACCAAAAACCATAGAATGCTACTGTGTAAATGGAACATCGCAACTTAAGAACAAGAAAAAAGAAATTGATAACTTAAATTTTAAAATCTCCTGCATCTTTATAAAAACCGATCAGCATAGTAAAGTTCTCAGGGACATGTTGACACACTACAGATTACCATGATGAATAACAACTAAAGTGCCTTCTCTATGAGCATAGAGAACAAGTAACCTGATGATTGTAGTTTTTCCTACTCCTGGAGGCCCAATAAGCAACAAAGAAGCCCCATCTTTAACCAAATCTCGCAACAAGATGGCACTTCCTGATACTGCTCGACCAACACGACAAGTTAAACCAATAATCACACCTTTTCGATTTCTGATGGCACTAATTCGGTGTAAAGTTCTGCTAATTCCGGCTCGATTATCTATAGCAAAATCACCAACCTGTAATATGAAATGTTAGTTAGCGAGAAGGCATTCAATTTTTTAGCAAAGGTAGGCAATCAGCATAGTTTTGCCTCTTCATAAGAGGAGCACTGTAACTCAATCAAATAAAGTTGACCCTGCAAAGCAAAAGGTTTACAAAGTCTTCTAATATGCGTACATCATACTTATGATTTCAAGATGGTGCACTTACCAATCATAGTTTTAAATAACGGTAACAGGTGATGTAATGGTTGCGGTCATTATAATTTTAACTCAACTTCTTAGTAATTGACCAGATGGTTCAAACATTTAGCACATGTGGAAAATCCCTTCAATAAGCTTCTCTTTGAAACCACTCAGATTCAACAGCATCTATGAATATTCATCAATTGCTGGGTGTGCCCATGGGCGTGTGTGCTATGTCTGTCTGTCTGTAGGTATGTTTATATTCAATTTAATTCCAATTCCACCCAGTTCAACCACTCCAAAGAGTAAGTCAGCTTCTTGCTCCTGACGATAACATTTAAAGCACCCATAAACACCTAGGGACACTNCATCAATTGCTGGGTGTGCCCATGGGCGTGTGTGCTATGTATGTCTGTCTGTAGGTATGTTTATATTCAATTTAATTCCAATTTCACCCAGTTCAACCACTCCAAAGAGTAAGTCAGCTTCTTGCTCCTGACGATAACATTTAAAGCACCCATAAACACCTAGGGACACTGGAAAATTCTAACTACGATGTTAAGTTGTCTACAAACATGGGCGTCAGGTATCAATCCCGGTGTTAAATATCAAAAAAAAAAAAAAAAAATCCCAAAACCAAATTTTAGCTCACATTACAAATTCGCTCATGCAAATGATCAAACAGTTGGCGGGAAAGATACAAGTTTACCTGAGAAGTGGCATGATTGATATCCTCTGTAGTAATCAGACGATCTGCTAAAACAAAATCCCCTGACGGAAACCGAGCCAATGGCTTTCGACCCAAATCCATAACCACTTCAATCAACTGGTGGAGCTCTTCGTGCTCGCTAACTATCTGCCGCATCTCTTCCGGTAATAAAGCCAACAGACGTCCCAATTCAACATCAAAATCGTCATCAGCTGAATATGAGAGCGATGAATGCGAACTAAACTGACCAAGAACAATTCTGCGCGACCCAGAATTCCTTTGGTTTGAATTGTGCTGACGAGATAGGTGTTGTGAAAAATGAAGGAATTCGAATGGGGATTGGGATGGGAGTTTGGAAACTAAGGTTTGGCGTGGGAATTGGCGAATTAGCAGAGGAGAGAGATGGAGCAGAGGAGAGCAGAGCATTGCTATTCTGGCTATAAAGTAAGCATGTGGACTCGTTATAATTCCAACTGATTGCTCAGCTTATGATTCTCAGTTTTCATCCATTTATATATTGTGCTTTTTTCTGTTTTTGGTAACCTTTTCTACAAGAAAACGAAACACAAGAAGTCACAACTTACGAGGATTGGCCTAAGAACGATTCTTAAACTTTTCAAAAATAATAATAATTTTTTTTTATCAGGAAAAAAGGGGGAGAGTCCATCTCTAGGTGTTACCATGGGTGTCCCTCGTCACAGCACAGAGTCCATCGTCACAACACTATCAAAATTAAGAAGCAAATCGTGTTACTCCCGTAAATAAGAGTAGAGCTAAAAATTATTCATAGTTGGGACAACGTAAAACTATTTCAATAATTTTTTTCTTTCAAAAAATTTACCCACAATTAATTCAAAATTAACATGTTTGGCTTGACTAAAATTTCATATTTTTTTTTCCAAACAACTTATTAGGACTAGAAGTGTTCATTTAATAGACATAATTTAGAAAAAAAAAATTATTTGCCACAACTTTATTAAAACTTAGATATAAGAATACTTTGATTGATCATTGATAGATTGTTCAAGTTCAATTGTTCAAATAATTTAATTTATAATATATTAGATTACAATATATAGTATGATTAAATTAAAAAATTTATTTGAAATAATTTGAATCTTAATTTATAATTCTTTCATTCTAATTTCAATTTTTAATATTATGATTTCTAAGTTCAAACCCCAATTCACATTAACAAAAATAATAGAAGGGAGAAGACAAAAAGAAGTTAGAAAAATAGAGTAATGACCAAGCAAGCCAAGTTAAGAATCAATTAAGAATCACTAAAACTCATTGTAATAATAACCAACCAAGCATAATCTTATTGGTTACACTTGATTCTATTAACTAAGTAGGTGGATAAGTCAACCCTTGCTAAAGGTCAAGATTAATTTCTTCTAGATGTTTGCTCATTTATTATTAATGCGTTATTCAAAAAACATAATCGCTAATTATTTATGTTTTAATAGTGATCTATTGATGTTTATAAGAAAGCCTCATCATAATAATTTTAATTTTAAGTCATATGACGAAAATGTAAGTCTAATTTTTCTGTTTATGAAAGAATATCACTTATCTAAAATATAAGCTAGCAATAATACTATTTATGTATGTAATTTAGAAACTTAATTTAAAATTTTAATCAATTGTTATTATTGGATTAGTACATACCGGATCTCGTTAAATATTAAGATCCACTAATAATCAAATGATAACAGTCACTTAACTTCTCAAATTAGATTTTAATAGTGTTACTTTGACAAACTTAATTTTTTTTTATAAAATTTTTAGTAGGGGCAAACTTCAATTTTTTTTAAAAAAAAATTCTAAAATTTTAAATAATATCCAAAAAATTTCAAAATTTGAGCGGGAACAATTGACCCCCTATTGAATCCGTCACTACTCGTAGATCTAACCCCTTGATAATCATATAGGTTATAGGAGTCAAAAACGACTCTAAACGAATAGTATTTATCACTAGGTTATTAGCTCGGATACGTTTTAAGACAAAATAAAAAACAAAGAAAAATATTGATGGTTTCAATTTTGATATTTAATCATTAATTTGTTTTAATTTACATGAAAATGAAATATTAAAGAATGACAAATTTTGATCCGACAGGAGTAGGTTATGACTTATGAGGCCGCCTTTGGATGGGCTATTTAGTGGACTGATTTTTAGCTGGTTTCCTAAAATTTCTAACCCAATGGGAATGTGGGCTTGCAAAACAAATGAAGCAAAAGGAAGTCATTCCCAAAGTTAACTCGCACATCCTTTAAAGCATTTAACTCGAAACTAAAAGTTTTAATGCATCAAAAAAGTTGTTTAATCTTATATAGTTCGAGAATTTTTTATTACATCAACGTGGGATATTAGCCACTTAAGCAAACTAACACTTAAGCCATGCTTAGCCCTAGCGGGTGATATTCTAAAATGTGAAAACTTTAAGGCAAAAGTATCAATAGTTTTAATTTTGGAAAGACATCTCAAGCCAACTTAAATTACATGGGCTCATAGCAAATGTCATGCAATAGTATAGTTAATTTTGGGCTTGCAAAAGAGCTATGGTCCGTTGGTGGAGCAACTACTCCGAATAGGCCTTATTTTCTAATCGGTTAGGCCCGACAGACCTGCTTGTGAGGCATCTCAATGGGCCTACAGCTTTGCCCGTTGGCCCATAAAATTCTTTAAAGAAATTGAAATATGTCAAATATAAAGAAAAAAAAATATCAAAAATATGTGCCTTAGATTCGACTTGATTGGGTAGTCCGGTAAAGTCTTATTAGTATATGCCCAATTGGCATGCCATGGGTTGCCATTTCTTTGGACGATCCAACTTGTTTGCCGGTCAATACACTGTTTGTCTTGGCCCATGAGTGGACATGGGTTGCTTATTTGCGGACTAGGCTGGCCCCATCGATGATCCTTCACTAAATACTTTCAGCAGTGGTACTGACCACGGTTATTAGTGGGCTCAATTTTAGAGTGTCATTAAAGAACAATGAGTGAGATGAAAATTATAAGACACTAATTATTCATCGTGCCTAAAAGTCCGGAGTAGTAAAAACAAAAAATTCAATGATAAATACATTTATATTCACACTTAAAATCAAATTACAAATATAGAAAAGAGAAAAAAAAATTAAGAACCAGTTACAGTGGAGATATGCGGTGTAAGTGATGGTGGCAGCCATGAGTAACAACCGTGATAGTTGTGATGGAGGGGGTATGGGGATACTAGGCAACGGTGTTGGTGGTTGGCAATGGTGGTAATGGGGCAACGACGATGGTGGTGGGCAATGACGATGGTGGTAGTGGGCGACGTCGGGTGCTTCTAGGTAATAGTGTGATGGGTGCTGGTGGTGGTAGGTGTGGTGGAGTGGGTGGTGGCAATGTTGGGCGATGATGTGTGGTGGTGGTGGGGGTGGGTAACAGTGGCTAGCGGTAATGGTGGGCAACAATAGTGGTGTTGGGTGCTGATGGTGGACGACAGTGGTAGTAGGATAATGGCGGTAGTGATAATAATATATACGAATAAGATGACAATGGTGGTAGGTTGTCACAGTAGACAACGATGGTAATAATCGGAGATGGGTGTCGATAGTGGTGGTTGTGGTGATAGGGTAGNTATGAATGAGATGACAATGGTGGTAGGTTGTCACAGTAGACAACGATGGTAATAATCGGAGATGGGTGTCGATAGTGGTGGTTGTGGTGATAGGGTAGTGGAGTGGAGGTGGTGGTAGGGCAATGGTAGTGGTGGTGGTGGCAACAATGACAGTAGCAGGGGCGGCAACAACGGTGGTTGAGGTGGTAGGGGTGATAGTCGTGGGGGTGGTGAGGGGCGGTGGTGGTAAGGGTGATGGTGGAATAGTGACGATGGTGGAAAGGTGACAGTAGCAATGATTGTGGTGGTGTTGACGACGGTGATAATGGTGATAGTAGTGGGAATGTTGGTGATAAGATGGCAGCGCTGGCATTGGAGGTGGTAGTGGTGATAGTGGCGGGGATGAAGGTTGGACAATGGGGGGTGGAGGTGGTGGTGAGGCGATGGGGGTGGGGTGGTGGTAGTTGTATTGGTGATGGTGGTGATAGGTGTTGTTGTAGTGGTGGGATGACAGTAATGGTGGTAGAGACAACAATAGTGGTGGTTGTTATGATAGAGGTGGTGGTGGTGGGGTGGCGACTATGGTGGTAGTGGTTGTGGGGCGATGGGGGTGATGGTTGGGTGGCAACAGTGGTTGTAGTAATGATGGTGGTGGCACAGTGTGGGTGGCGGGGTAGTGGTAGTGATGGAATAGTTTTAAACACTATTTTTTTTTTAAAAGTACTTATAAAAAGTCATAAATTCTAGAAACACTTTTAAAAAATTACCTAAATTACACCTTTAAAAACCTATTTCCCCTATTGAATTTGAGATGTTAATTTTAATTGTTTAATTAACTTTAAAGTATAATTTAAAGAGATTTCAACCGCGAAAAGTAAAAATTATTATTATTTTTTTTTTAGATTTAAATTGTTTGTACTTTATTATATAGATTTATTGTGAGAAACTATATCTAATTACGGGTAGTTAAGATACAAAATAAAGATGAAGGTATTATAGGTTTTTTAAGTGTGAACACCAAACCCATCATCGCCTTTTATTAATGATATAAATTATAAGCATCTTAATGTCTTTCTGTTTTTTGGTTTTATGATCATGGGTGTTTTGATTATTTTATTTACGTGTATTTTAATTAATCTCTTTTTCGAGTTTAGTTAAACACATGTCATCCATGATAGAATTAAAAAATTTATGAAGAATGAATTCTTCATAACTTGTCCTTAAGATAATTGTCAATTTTAAAGTTGTAAAGTTAGAACGTTTGAATTAATCGTGTACCCATTACAACCTGTTGAGGTTAACCATCCTAATGTCTCTCTATTTATGACTTACGAATTGGTCCAAGAGTAGACGCGTGCTTAGAAAAAAAAACACAATTACCAATCTTACAACGGCAATGTTGCCAATCAATTTCATCAAATGAATGCTTTGTGGCCAAGTCGAGGACATAATTTCAAACAATCTTTCAACGCAAGAAAGTGAAGCCAAAAACATTGACAATATTATTTGAATTTAATTTAATGTAACTATTGAATTGTGTGTAGATTTTATTAATTATTGGTGGTGGTGTATTTTAACGTGATACAATTTTGTGATTACGAGTTAATGAAAGAAATAATATTGAAATTATTGAGATCTGAGCTACTAAACTCGAGGGAATGATACTGAGAATTATTGGAGAGTTGGGGAATTAACACAGTAAAAATTTACTGGTTCACCAGTTCGGAAGCTTAACTAATCCACTCTTCAATAAAGATTCTTGTTCTTTCTTTCACTATTTACTATATCAAAATGTTTACAGAATGTAAGATGTGATAC